CTCACCCACTCTCCCACCCCCCCACACATTTATCTTATCTTTTGCTTTCCTGCCCCCTCGCCCCCGCAGATCTGATAGCACAAGAAAGCAGATCTCTATCTGCACTTCAGAGAAGACTAACACCCCACCCAGTCCTGCACCTGAACCTTGATTTACTTTTGGTCCATTTCTCAGCACATCAATCCCACTGGCCTGCTCTAACTGCCCTGTCAAACTTAAGCAGGGTTTGGACTTTGCTCCATTTGAAAAATGCCCTGGGTGTTCGTAACAGGTCGTTCCCTTCCTGCCGCTCTGAACACTTTAGGCAGGATGAAATTTCAGTTGCAAGTTCCCTATGCCAAGTCCAGGGCACGTTCACCTTTCCCTAGGTACAGAGAGACAACACAAAAAGCAAACCTTAGAAAGCTGAGACAGATTTCGACCACTCAGACAGCTGGGATCTGCTTTCTGAAAGCTTCACTCCTGTTAGATCACTGCTGCTAGGTGTGAGCGCACATGAATGTGCCCATGTGTGCATTACAGACACAACTCTGGACTTTTTTTTTCCTTTTAGCAAAGTAACTTAAAAAAAAAAAAAAAAAGCTACCAGTACAGTACAACTCGGCAAAACCAACCCGTCTGATCAACAGCTGGGCCACTTCCAAACAGCACAAAGGAACAAGAAAATGCACCACACAGTCAGCAAAACAAAGCAAAAAAGTACATACCCAACTAAGCCTACCCTAATCCCTTCCATGCCTACCTGTGCAAGAAGCCCGGTGCCTCATCTAACCACTCCCCTTTGTTAATCAGTAGAGAAAAAATGCAAGCAAGCTGGACACGAGAACACAGATGAATTAATTCCACAAACCTCATTAGCGCTGGGTCTGCTTCAAAGCCGAAATCCTCTGCAACAATCCAAACAAGAGGCACCCACACGCCAAGCCAAGAAATTCTTCTGAGAGCAAAAAGGGAAGCTTCACTGCTTTGCTACCACTAGCTGATTTCCAGCCTTCTCTTTGATTTCTTTTCGTGCTTCCCCCCTCTTCTTTGCCTAGATGCCAGGTTTAAATCCTCAGAGAAGCCGCACAGCTCACAGACCTGACCTACCTTTGCAGGAATTTCTGCTCCCTCCGGTCAAATATCAACTGCCCCCTTTTTCTCCACTTTCCCTTGCTGTCGTTTCTTCAACCCGTGTCTTTTTTCCCCCACCAGATGTGTGTGGGGAGGGGAGGTAAGACCAGAAGAGCAGGTAAGAAATCTGTAGTGGGATCCCCTTCTCAGGTGAGGGCTGATTTTATTCTAGCTCAGGTGGTGGGAGGAGTGTCCATGACTCAGCCTGGCTCACATTCCTTGAGTTATGCACACCTGTATGGGCAAGATCAGCCTGGTCAGCTAAGCCTTCGCTCCCCCCTCCCCGTCCAGGCATCCACCCACAGGAAAAGGGCCGGGACTGGTAGCTAAGGCACAGCCCAGTCCAGTTACACTTCAGGAACAAAGATTTGCAGAAAGGATTGTTCAGAGTGCGTGTATGTGGGGGTGAGGGGTGCTGCAGCTCAGCCTGTGCTTTAGAGATCAGCCAAGCGGAGTCAGACTGTTTACTCCAGTGCTGAACGCGCCATCCGCTGCTTGCAGCTCTGGAGTGCCCAGGGCCCTCCGTGGATTGTTTTGAATTCCCCCGCCTCTGCAACCCCCCTGCCTGGCAGGAGCTTTTCCTCCGACTTCCTATGTGGTGCAAGCTGAGAGAATATTGTACTCCAGGTTTCAGGCCCAAGCAGATCCCTGCAGAAAGGCCAGTCCAGTTCCAGCGCTGCCAGTAACAATCCCAGCACTTCTATTTCCATGTCTGGCTGACAAAACAATTAGTGGTCAGCAATCTGTGTTTTGTTCTCCGACTGGAAAAATAAAGAGCCACGAGGCCTTGATGCAGCAGCTGTAACTATGGCAGTGCTTCTTGTTGCAGTGCAGTTTTATGTCGTATAAATGGGACTCACTCACCCACGTTCCTGAACTACACTGAAGACTTGGTCACGGACTGTGATCTGTGGTACCCCGGCATACCTGGACCCCATCCTGTGGTTATATTCACCATGCACAGACCTTGGCTGTACAGGCAGGGTCTTAGCTAGGCTGCTGAACTATGCTATTGCTTTGGACTATGAAAAAAGTTTAATAAAGGCCAAGGAGACGCAACTGAGGTCCTACTTACTCTGTGACCTGGAAGGGTGCCTGGCTTTGGTGGACAGCTTTGTTACGATTTCGCTATCACTCAAGTTTGCAGCAGAAGTCAGACTAAAGCAATTTCCAAAGGCAATTGACTTCACAGCTGGTCTTTTCTTTAAAGGTGCATTTAAAAACTGGGGGGGGGAGGCCTCTTTATTAGAAATAACAGCTATCTAACACCCCCTCTTGAGCTAGCAACTCAGCATTGGTCCAAATAAAGAGGTTGGTTTCTTTTGTAGAAAGTACTAGAGGGACTTCAGATGGATTCAAAGTTTGATCAAATGGAGATAGCTGGGATCCTGGAGGGCCCAGACCAGGATGGTATAGTAACAGCATAATTCATACCCCACGTAAGGCCTGAATGAAGGTCACACTGAGACCCTGCATGTGGAATGCCCTAACTTCTGCTTGTTTTATTTTTGCAAACTTTAACTTTCCTAATGTAGTGTTTTTGGCTGCAATTTTGTTTAAAAAAATGCAAACTGAGGGCACAGACAGATGTAACAAGTTGTGTTATCCACTGATAAAATGTAAGTGGTTACAGTGTAACTGCATGCTACCATTGCAACTTTAATCCTGTTTCATTCTGGTTAAAGTGCCAGTGATTTAAGGTAACTTGTGTGGGCGCTACAGAAAGGTGCAGGAAGACATGCAACAGCTCCCCGTTCCTTTTGAAGCAGTTACATCAGGTTTGTCCACAGCTCAAGGAAAAACACTGGCAATAGCATAAGAAACTGCAGTGACTTCCACCAGGGACATCAGCAGAGCCTGAGACTTCGGATCCACAGCTCAGAGTCTGCTACTTGAGGTGCCTAAGTACCTGGATAGCAGCTCTGTGAGGACCAGCCCCCACTAAAAGACATATTTTGCCTGTGAGAGCCCCAACTCTGTGCTGGACACTATAGAAGAGTGGAACAAAGTGGCTTGGCAAGTCTGGGGTTCAACTCCAGGACTTGAAAGGGAGTGTACCGTAACGAGTATAGATAGACTGGTGATTCTCAACTAGGGAGCCTCAACACCCTGATCCTTTTAAGGGCGCTGTGGGTGCCACACAATATCAGCACTGTAGATGTTCAAACACTTACATGATTCACAAGATAAACCCAGAGATTTCAAATAGGAAGCCAGAGTGCCAGAACTATTTTGACCTGCTGCGGTCTTTCTGAGATCTTTGCAACGGAAGAACTGCTCTATTATTTTTCTGTAGTCAAGAAATGAGTGAAATGTAGTTAAGAAATGAGTGAAGATCTAAAAGCTGGCATTTCCTGAGGGATGCCTTGAGTATTCAAAAGGTGAGAACGACCAGGAGACTTAGCACTGGTGCAACAGGAAGTAGGAATGGAGGACAGTCCCTCCACGGGGAGGTACGGGGGTGCATGCATGTGCATGCATGACTAGCACACACACAATCTTTTAGCAATAATGCAGGCAGCCTCTAGCAAACTTCCATGCCCAGGCCAGCTAAGGCTTTCAAAACATGGCCACAATGGGGCAGAAACCCATGAAGACAGCAAAAGGCACATCCTTGACAGCTGGCCACCCCTCTGCCAACCTCAAGTTGCTGCCAACAAAGTATGGGGGCGCTAGAACTTCTCAGAGTTATGGCTGTGCAGAACAAAGCAACATTTTTTTTCCCTAGCTTCACTCTAGGAAACAGCCAAAACATTTGTGTATAAACACCCTGGAAGTATTTCATCTGGAGGCAGACAGCAGATAGGGAAGGATTTGATCTAAATGAGTAAGACCTGGCATAGTTCTGATTCACTGACCTGATTCACTTCTGTTAAAGCCCTCTGCAACTGAATGCACCCTGAGGACAGTGTCTTTACACAGCAAACATTAGCAAACTTACATGCAGACATTATTACCCATGAGGTTGCTAGCAATATCAGTCTTACTCACATATCACTGGACTTATTTCGAAGCAGTAATGTGGCCTCCCAAGTCTTCCTTAGAAGTGATTCTCTAGGGGCAAACATAGTTCATTTCCATGAACCATTCAACCATTAATCTGTCTGTTGAGATCATCAGTCAGGGGGTCAATTGCTAATTATTATGAAAGGGTTTTTTAATGCCATGCCAGCCTGTTCACTATCTGACCTTTGGATGCAGGATACCCACTGGGACAGCCCATAGGTTTCCACTGGGTCAGATCCTATCACAGGTGTTTCTCTTGGAAAACAGCTACATTTGGGATCACAAAATCACCTTAAATTATATCATGGAATAAAATCTGAAGGGGAAATGTTTTAAATATCTTGTATTGCGGTTTTTTGTTAGATCAATGATTCTCAACCTGGGTGCCCCGCACCCCAGGCCATGACGGCCTTTGCAGGGTGCAACAGGCAGAGGGGAGATAAGCACGATAAGGTGGTAAGTGCAGCCTCACTTCTCCCCCACTCACTGTAGCATACGTTCTGCCCTGCTAGCTGCTCCTCCTCCTTCTCAGCCCCTCTCCAAGCAGAAAAGCACTATAAATCAATTTGCTTTCGAAACAGGGTCCTGCTCAATTCACAGAAGTGATGGAGGGGTGCCTTGAGTCTAAAGAGGTTGAGAACTACTGTACTGGACATTACACCAAAGCGAAGCCATTGACAGCCTCCTGTACAATGCTAATCACAAATCTGCATTAGGATTACTTAATGATATAATCAGGGTTCATCATAAATAAAGGAAGCGTTTCAGGCCACAATTATTCAAACTAAAATTATGCAAATGACCGCTCAGGAAGGAAAGACGTTCTGTCATACATGGCAAAGGAGAGAACTCACCCTAATCATGACCAAAATGTAGCCACTTCTGGGGTGGGGAAGTAGCTAACTGCACTTCTGGCACAATACATGACAACGTGAGGAGGAGAAATTCTGGCAAAGAACCACATGGCAAACCTCTACACTACTTTAGAGCCCTCTGAGCAGGTAAGCATCCATCAGGAGAGGATATAGGACCTCAATGCCCTGGCTAATGTCTCTAGGAAGAAACTGTTTTTACCTCTGATGTTTGAAGGCTTTAGCTGACTGTTGGTACAGTGCTACAACTCCAGGGAGTCAAGGTGCACTGATCCAGACTGCTAAGCATAGCTTTTGGCTCTCTCTATCCCTCTGTGCCCTGCCGGGGTGTGTTGTCATCCCTTAAGTCTGAGTATCTTCAGTGGAGCGAACGCTGCACAATTGCTCCTCCAAATTCACACGTGGCAGCAATGACAAAAACGCCATTAGGCGGCGATGAAAGCCAAAGGTGGACATCTTCTGACCTGCACAGAGAAGACAAGAGAGCCTGTAGGACATGGGGGCAGAACAACCAGCAAAGTGAGTACAGGGGTGGAGGGGGCTGGACCTGATGATCTCAAGAGGTCCCTTCAAGCCCCTAACATCTATGCATCTATGAACCATGTCTGAAGAGAGAGTGCCTATTTCAGCTGCCCGGCCTTTATGTTTCTAGCAGCCTCCTCTCCTGGCTGGCCGTTCCAGGCAAACAATGCTCTTGGAGATGCATTTCTCTGACTACTTCTGAGTGTAGCCAGGGTCAGAGGAAAAAGCTATGGCTTAAATTATATATGGAAGCTAGTGGGCGGGGGGATTTTAGGTCGTCAGTAAAAACTAAAAGAAGGTCCTAGGCATAAATATGCTCCCTCCCCTTAGTCTTGAGGCTTTAAACAAGAGAATAGGAAGCAAAGGGGTGGAGAGGAAAGAGAAACCTTGTTTCCACAGGAGTGCTTCTTTCCTGCCTAAAACAAATTCTGCAGATCACTGGGTTAATCCAGCGCCTCATACCTTAACCTGCAACTAGGATGCCAATGTAGATGAGCTTTCTTTTGAAGTTTCATTCTCTCATCAGCTCCAAGACCTCACATAGCTGCTGTCCCAAAGAAGTGAGATGTACACTGATCAGAAGGAACCCCCCCACCCAGCCCTGTATTTCTGCTATATGTGGACGCCAGGTTCAAACTCACCGAGCATAGGGCATTTTCAAGGAGCCTCAGCTCTGCCATAGGCTAGCACAGGAGAAGAGGCCATATAAGCCTCTTGCTCCCATTAGAGTATGGTGCAAGCCATTTTAAACAAACATACGCTGGGAAAATCAGCCCCTACTCGGGGCTTTGAGATTCCTCTTAAGTAGAGCGTTACAAATGCAAAGAGGGCAGATAAGTCTTTCCGGAAAGAACACAACTAAACGGTTTTTATATTATCAGCTGTGGCGTCCTCCTATTATTGAACAGTGATATTGGCACTATCAACATGAATGCGTCAGCAGGTG